GTTTCTCTTTGTCTCTCCTCATAATAATTTCTCGTTATAATTTTATATCACAATTTATAATTATGATTTATATTATTTATATTTTAATTTCATTGTGTGTCTTTTGATTTCTGTTCATTAAATTATATTTGTATTTATAATAATAGAAAATAGTAGTCAACTTAATAAATAAGTTTATATTACAGCTATTTATTTTCAAAGAATTCATATTATTTCAATTACCTTATCCATTTTTATGCTGTGAAATAATTCATATTAATTTGTATTTATACATCAGCCGAATAATCTTTCGAAAGATATGGCTAATTGTAAGCGAATGAATAGAGAGATTATGTGCTATGCAAAAACCACTGGAATCGATTAGTTTAATGAAGTTAATATCATAATATAAACCGCTAATAATTAAAGTTATTATGAAATATATCATCTGTTCAGTCTACGTCAATTCATTTTGCTGTCATCTATGATTTTTACCATCCGCTATATTGTGCAAACTTTACGAATTCCTTCGCATATATCTCCGCATATAATTATCTACGAACAACTACTTTTATTCGTTATATTAATTACGTCATATCGCATATTGTGGAATCGCCTTACGTTAACGTGTTATCTTGTCACTTTATACAAATTAATAGCACCGATAAACGATAATATACATTTGTAGTGATATACTACGTATATCATTTATCGTAATGGTGCCGATGATTGAAAAAAATACTGCTCGTGGCAGTATTTTGATAACGTTTTTTAAAAGGCAAGCCGAATGACATTAGCTTTATTTAGTAATACTACGATATAATGACATTCGTATTTATGAGGGAGTTATGTGTTGCTCTATACTTGCAATTTCACGTAAAAGTTGTCTTGTAAATAACAACAATTATTATAAACTCACAATCAGATATTATTTGAATTACTTTTTTTTTAAATATATCGCGTAAATATATATCTTTTGTACTAGTTTGTAAATGAAAATTTCGAGTATACATTAATAAGGAGTATTATTCCCGGTATATTAACACGAGCTATAAAATACGATGAATAAGTGATTTGACTGGCGGAAACTCATAATATTTTTCTTTAGGAAATACAAGACTTCCCGTATGATCCCGTGCATATAATAGAGCGTATTCAGCGTTACAAATATATTAACATTTGTTATATTTCTTGAATAAATGACAATGAAAGCCTACAGATACTGAGTTCTATCGATTACAGATGACGTGCTGCTTATGAGGCTATTGCCTTATTCCGAATAGAAAACTTTACTGAATATAATAATTATAAATAAGCTTATACATTATATTATACAGATAATATTCGAGACGTACGTCGGGAATTCGTGTGAATGTACTAAATATATTCGCAAATTATAATGTTCTTTGTTATGTAATATGTCTCTAATCTAACATATTTCTACCGCATATAGATGTATCTCCTTTCAATGAATAACTCCTGATTTTTTCTTTTATTTTGGATGATACTGATATTCTTGTGATTTACGTAAGATTTTATTTCAACTTCAATTTTTAATGATATATGTTTAAGAATATAAATTGATATTGTTTAATATTAATTTTAAATTTCAAATTTCTTATAGTGAAATCTCATTTCAAGAGAGTGGAAACATAGCCATTTTTAGAGATAAGTAAAAATATTTCACTTCCTGAAAAAAAGTGAAAATTGTTATTCTTTTTCAGAAAGTGAAATATTTTCATTCTTCTCAAAAAATGGCTATATTTTTACCCTCTTAGAGATTTTATTAAAAAAAAATTTAGAGAATAGGTCTCTTCTTTCAACTGAACTTCTTGCATGGTTCTTTCTTTTTCTTCTCTCAATGTTGGAAAAAAAAAGATAACGTTGCAAAGAAGTTCAGTTAAAAAGAGCAGGGGGTCTATTTGTTTATTAATGTTTATATTATTTGAGATTTTCTATTGTATCATTCAATTCTTCTGAGTTGTCAAATTTAATAAGATTTATTAGCAAGTGTAAAAATCAATTAGTTAATAATGATGTTTGTACATTTGGGCATTTCTGTCAAATATTGTCATGTCTCATATAAGTATAAGTATAACACGTAAGATACATAATTATTTTTATTAAATTAAAAATTTGTTGTATTTTAATTTTGATCGTAACTTTCGGGTATTTCGCGATTAAAAGGCAGTTCTGTTTATCAGCAAACGTTAGAATCATTTTTGATCCATCGAAATAAATTCGCCAGTCGCTTTAATTAAGAATGGCTCGCATTGTTAGGATTCAACCAGCGTTCATCCTATCCATCAATTATCATTTTACATTGACCGCAATTCTTTTTCTGCGGACCTGAAAGTTCTACGGATCGGTACATTCGTTAATTATGTATGGAATGAAACGAGTTATGCTACTTCTGCTAGGGCGATCACTGAATAATGCATGCGTACATACACATAGATCATGCAGTACCGATACATTTAATGGCCGATTGAAACTTAATGAGGAGCCACACTGGAAGATTTCCTGATAGCATATTTTATGAAGCTCCAGGGAGCAAAACTCTGTAATTGTTCTATCCAAGAAAATTATATCTGGCCAGAACTGTTTCTCTCTCATACTCATCTTCGCCTCGATATAATTTTCATTAGCTAAATTCACTAACACTAAAAAGATTCCAAATTTTATCCCCAATAATTAAACTTGCAAAAATTTTGAGGGAATTTCAAAGTTTCCGAGATTGTTCGAAACTTCACGGTGAGCTTTATGAATTTGCATTAATATGCATCTTAGAGGAACTTTTAATCTAGTTTATATTGTCACCTAATTTCTAATCTAGTTATCCAATTATTTATGAACGCTTTTATGCAAACAGTGCCTTCTTTTTTTCACTTTTTAAAATATATTTTTAACGAAATAATGTTATCTCACACACATACACACACACACGCACACACACGCACATACACACACGCACGCGCACGCATGCACGCACACACACACACACACGCGCGCGCGCGCGCGCACACGCACACGCACACAAAACGTATCTAGCTTTCTTTCGGCTATATCGTAACAGAGTTATGCAATATAAAAGAGGATTATGCGATATGTACCGGTTTATCTGTGGAAATGTTGTGTACGCTGTCGTATGACTAAATTGATAATGGGACGAGTGGCACAGTTCTGCGTTACACCGATGGGAAATGTAAACACGCGAGTTATTCTGTGTAAATCTAATCTAATTACGGCACATCCGGATGATACGCATACCATACGCGGTACGTACGTGTCGTACGTAGGTATCGTTAGCAATTTGAAATTTCCATACGATCTCGTTACGGGAATCTCGGATTCGCCGCGGGGTCCGCAATCAGGCCGCAGAGTGGAAATTATTTTCTGTTTGGCTCAATTCCTCGCGAAGGCCGCATGACGAGGGTGCTAATTATGTGCGATCCTAAACTGCAACGTAATATCGATTTCGAGTCGGATATTGTTAACGAGAAGCTTAATTATTTTGCAGAAAATTTGCGAAACGATCGCACGCGTAGATCGTGTAATTTGCACTTCTCTCATTCGCGTTATGGTACATGATTTTATGTCGTTCTTCGTCCTTGATTTTCAAAGATACCAGACCAGCAATTTGCTATTATATCCTTCATATTGTACTCGATTGTACCGTGTTCTTTTCCAGTCATAATTATCTTTACGATTTTTTAGCCATTAACTGTTAGAGAATACTTAAAGTTGATTACAGTAAAGATATATATTTTGCTTTAAATTAAATTGATAAATTGTTACTATTTTAATATTTTTATTTTATTCTTACTTATAAATATTTGTGGAATATTTAGTAATTGAAGAAAAAAAAAAGTTTTCATCTTTTTGAGCTATTAAATTATTAAATTGAGATATATCGTCGGGATTTGGATATGCGAGATACTATTTTTTTTTTATTTTGCGAACGTTTAGCATCTCGCGTTTGCCAGTTCTTCCAGTATATTTTTCTATACACGCACGTTTAATGAATCACACTGACCATGCAATAGCGTGCACGTAATCACGCTTTTAGATTTATCGTCATCGATGCATCGCAGTCATCGTTGAATTAGAGTTTACGACGCTTCACTGCGACTACCTATCGCGGTGTTTTATCAACGGATACTGCATACGGTATATTTTGTTTTGTAATGATTTCATCGTATATATCAGTCAACCTCCACGATCGAGATGGCATAACTAAACTACAGGATAATTCACACTTCCTGGTAATAAATATTAATTAACAGATTATTTTAATGATGATTATTATTTTATTATTTCGAGTACTTTGAGTATCTTTTTAACAAGAATATCAAGGTAGCTCTAGAATTAATTTTGATAATTGAAATTATGGATAATGAATCTTTACCGAGAGATCTTATTTCTCATACAATATTATCGTATACGTTAAATATAATCATTTCAGGATTAGTTGAAAATTTACAACTTAACATCATTTACTCGGTCCTCTTTAGACTATATCTTTAGCTGTACATAAATAGGTATATAATAATGCTGATACTAAAAGAAAACTTTAGAAGTAAGTCACGAACGCTAATGGATCATTCGTCTACTCATTTAAGACTTTTATAATATAAAATAAATAAATGTTGCTTTTTATGCTTCTTAAAATATCCACAGCTTTTGGCAAAAGCATATTACATTTTATCGCAGGTTTTTAACCGGCTCGATAAAACGTTCACTTAATAAGGTGCTCTTTCGAGCAAATATTTTTCGATTTGATATCAAGGTTATTATTCTTTCTCGAGGATCTCTTATCGCGACTAATTGTTATTACCGTGTAATTAAGTGTTCGCGTATAAGTCACAATTCGATCGTAAATGCATGCGATAGCAAATGTATTTATAATCAAAGGGTAGGGACCATTATATGTAATTTTATACAATTGTATTTAAAAATATCTGTGCTTCTTTATGATGCAATAATATTAATTATTATGTGATTGTATAATTAGCGGAAATTAAAAAAATTGTTATGCGCGTGTTTGTATAAAGCGCAAAATCTTACGAATGTAACTCGTTCGTGTCAGGCACAGTTTCATCGATAATACTTACTACTTAATATTCATACGGTCGACGTAATAATAAATCATCATTGCAGCTGTTGCCGGTGTACGCCTAAAAATGCATATTGAATGCACAGCTATTTATTTACATATTCATCTATTATACAGAGGAAAGTTCTACGTAAAATGGTATGTTTCGAAGCGTTTTCCTAGCGAAACACCGCATAAATTCCGCGATGTCGTGCGCGCATTACACGAAGTATCATTTACGTTTATAGCGATGAGCATTGTTTATTCAAACGGAAATTGTAATCTAACGGTGCTGCGTTTCTATGTCCGTTCTTGCTCTCTTAAACTAATGACCGACCGGGAAAAATATGCCGTTAAGTATTCTCCTTCTTAACATCTATAAAATGTAATTATCTGCGAAATTAGGTCTTTCTGTTCATTGCCTGAGGCCACGACTTACAAACGTACCGTTTTCATGTATACTGACATTAACTTGTGCTACATTTCGGCGCATTCTATATATATTTCGCATTCTATAAATCGATTTTTGTATATCTGTACATTTCTACGACGCGTTTTCTCCTATATTTAAAATATTATCGACACATTTAATCATAGAGATTATCGAAAAATAGAAAAGTCGAGGTTATATCTTCTGAAAATTTTCTTATTACATCTTGTAGATGAAAAGTCGTTCTCAAAGATTTTATGTGTTGTTTTACTTAGACAAGACAGAAAGAAAAACAGTACGTACTTTCGAAAAATTACTTCATCGCTTTTCTTTCATCTTGTCCTCCGTTTACACATGTTTCGAAAAAGGATGTACGTTCAGGCACTTTATCTTTTGTAGTTTTTCGTTCTATACCATTCTATCGTTAAGAATTAGAATCATTCAATAAGGCAAGAGGAGAATAATGTTCTAAAATTTTTAGAATATTTTTGATATAACGCCCAATGTCTTTTTTTTCATTAATTCTAAAAAAATCTTATTTAAAAACTTTACTAAACTTTTTTCTCCTCTTTTTACATCTCTTTGATTAAAATTATTCTGTACTTTCGTGCGTCTTAATTCACGCACAGATGAAAATAGTTCCTTTCTAAAAATTACGCTTGAAATTTCTTTCGCAACTTGTCTTCGATTCACAAATCTACAAATTTACTCAATCATCTATTTCTTTTTTCTTCTTCCATTTCCTCAATTAAAAATCAATCTCAGTTCCTTGCACAGTTCCATTCTCTCACAGATGCTTTCGCGAGACTTAATTTCAGCTGGCGACAGCCTACAGTCGACTGAGTCTTTGTCGATTATGGAATTTTTCCTTGATACCCATGATTTGGCGTTTTATCTAAGAGCTCTGGAAATTTCACGATTGAAAATTCGCGATCGAAATAGTTTCGGTGAACCTTTATTCGTTTCTTAAACGTAGCCGTCAGCTTCTAATTTTAGGGCGGCTTCGTAGGAAGGTAAACCCTGATCATCCCTCGGGATATCTTCCCGTTTGTTGATCCTGTTAGCCTCCGACTCGGTAGGCAAGCTGCTTATCGGGGATGAGATAATATTGCCCGGATCGTCAGACTCGTCCTTCTTGTCGGTCGGCGAGGGCAGTGTCCGAGGGTCGAAGATGAGGCTCTCGTAGGCCGGTGGCGGACCTGAGGACACAGAACACGGCGGCAGAGACACAGTCATTCCCTCTTCCTGATGAGTTTGAGATGTTATCGATCTCTCGATGCACTGTTGGAGAGAAACGGAATTGTTAAAAATGTAACAGTGAAACACTGGGAATATATAATAAATAAAATACATATTAGGAAACGAGAGACAAATATAAAAGTTCAAAATGAATAACCTGTCAACTTAACAAAAAGTCTATTTTTCATTTCTGCATTAAACTGCATTAGGACTTTCTTGCTTTCGCCAAATGTCAAACATATACCTATTTTACTTTAAATTCTAAAAGTGTACAATAGTTTAGCTGTATAGCAAAAATAGAATTAAGTATAAATACTTTTATGTTTGCTTTTTATATCTGTCTTTTTCATATCTTAATTATGACAATATACATCGTTAATTCTTTGTACAAAACATTTTTTTTATTTATATTTTATATCTTATAGGTATTAATAATATTGCTATTTATTATATCTCATTCTTTTTATATTTTTTTATATTATGTCGTATCTGTTCGAGACACGATACAATACGAGTTTCTAGGTCTGAAAGTGTGAAGTATGCACGTTGTCGCATTGCGGCGTACAATTCCAGCCGATGTTCTCGCGCTCGTTCCTTTACGTGTAACGCGAGGGCGTGGTTTCCGCGAGATATGCGAATTTTTATTTAATTGCGTAACTACAAAGGTGAGCGAGAGGTTACGTAAAAGGTCAGCAAGAGGATATAAGTTACTCGCGGTGCGCACATTGCGTCGAGGAAGTGGTGTGATTTAAAAGTTTTATATAACATTATGCAAGATATCTTAAATTTTGCAAAAAATATCACTGACAGAATTGTCGATAAATGCTGAAACTTTAGAAATATTAGGAAATTTGGAATAGTGAGATCTTATAGAGATTTTTAATATTGAAAATTAAAGACCTTCTTTATGATTCATAAACGGGTAACAAATCATCATGTCTCTCTTAAATTTCAGCTCGAAAATTTATATAATTAAATTAAAAATTTAATCATCAACGGATAAAATTTTTAAAAAAATTCCATGACGTCAGTTGATTAAAATAAATTTTAATTTTTTTAAATGTATACATATCTGTAATATATTCAAAATAATTTTCTTATGCAATTTTAATGATTCCATTTAACAATGATTTTATACTAGATAGATTTTACAATATATAGAAATTTATTTTTAATTTTAAGAAAATTAATAATTTAAATTAAAATTAAGCATTTTATGATTATTTATATAAGAAATTATTCTCATCATGTTAAAAATAAAGCATTTAAGATAATTCTCGCGATATCTAATGATTAGAATGATCTTTTGAATGAAAATTTTTACTAACGTGTGTATCCATGGTGAAGACTTCCAGACTATGAATGTCCGGTTCGGCTCTCCAGTACTGCGAGTATTCCTGCGGTCGATGCTTCCGGACGTTTTTGTGACAGCAATAGCATATGAGCACCACCATCATGATCACACCGCTGATCATGGCGCTAAAAGCGAACCAATATAGATGATGTTTAGACGGTGCTTTTTGTGCTAGGAGGTGCCCATGCGGTTGAGGAAAAAAGCGTGGTTGCTATAAAGATTGGATGGAAAAGTGAACGTGCGATTTTCTCTCCGGAGGGAGCAGAAATTTTTAAACGTGATGAAATACAAAACAGTCACTTTTAACACCTGCTGCATTTTCGAAAACTTTTATGGCGATATAACAAAAAAATTGCACCTTGAAAAAAATATAGAACGTAATCTTAGATATATTTTGACAGGTATTAAAGATACGAAAGATAATGTCTTTCTTCGTTTGCTCGAAGAATTTTACTGCATAGCTGGTAATATACAAAAACAAGTCTTATCATCGATATGCATGCATAACGATTACATTATTAGTAATTGCAACAATCGTTTAATTAGCATTTATTCATCATAAATCTTCTTATCTTAAATTGCTAATAAAGCGACTTAAGATAAAAATTCATTACCCGCGGATTTAATGATGGTTTGAAGTTTTCTATATCTACATCTATAACTGCTACAATAAAAATCTTCGACTTTCTAATTTAATCCTACTTTGCGACATTATTATCAAATTTCATGAATATATAATGTTTTATATATTTTTATCTTATTTATGTATATGAAATATAAATTTTACTATAATATTTGTTAAATCAAATATTTTTATGAAAATTATCCTTGTGAGGAGGAAAAATTTCAAATTTCAAAGAAGCAACGTTATCTTTCTTCAGAACTATCAAGTTTTCCAATAAGCCAATTTTAACTTATAGGTTGATTCTCCCACGTTGTTCCACGGAACAACCATTGAATTTTCAAACACCGGCTATCTAAGCAATTGAGTACTTTCGTCGTGTCTTGTACATGCAATGGTCTGTTTGACGTACGAACTACAATCTGTTGGAGGATTAAGGGAGCAAAGCATGTGCGCGAGGGATGACGATGCGTCTTCTCAAAGAGTTCAAGATTAGGTGTGTTTGCTGTGAGATATCTTCCGCCTATATTTTGTGAGCTGTGCTGTCGGAGCATCTGTCCAGCTGGCGCGGTTGTTACTCACCCACCAAGAAGGATGTTAACATTGCCGTGCAGATCTGCGTCGAAACGACCGCTTTTGCTGGTTGACGAGGAGCCGTTATACTCCGGTGAGGCGTTACTCGCATCCCCGTAAGCGTTGCTGCCGTTATGATAGCCGTGGGCCTTTTGCACCGCGGCCATCACCGCTATCTTCTGCATTATCTTGTTCTCGTCTTTCCGCCCGTCGATGATTTCAATCGCGTGTCTCTCTTGATTTAATAGAATTGGAATGCGACTAATTAGCGTCGCTAAGATTAATTATTTTTATCTTTCTCTTTTTTAAAGTGGTAGTAATCTCTCGATCGCCTTGTTAATAGGCTCACCGATTATGTCTCGTAGATCGAGTTATTGATGATGTAATAACGTGTCGTATGTGTTACTACCAATCACTCGTTATCATCCACGAAGATCGAGAGAATTTCAATCATCCGTGTTGCTCCGAGATCGTTGATTGTCTCGAAAAGGAATCTACCGTTTCCGGAAACGCTTTTCGTTGAAAAAATCTATTGGATACACACCTCTCTCCTCTCCCCCCGAGCACGATCGACTGTGCATTACGACCGGTTAGATCGCTCGGGGGGGATCCTCGTAGCCGAATCGTACCTCAGATCTGGAAACATTATTTTTATGAAATGAACAGGATATCTTCAATTTTTCTATCCTTTCATGCTTATATCATAATTTTTTATTTGTAATACATTGAAGACATTCTTCAATTTTTGAATATTTACATCAAATGTTACACGACAGCAAAATATATGGAAAATAAATTGCATCGTACATCACAGAACACAATGCTTCTATATTGAAAAGATTCTTTAAACGAGTATTTGTCATGTGAATTATTATATTTTATTTTCTCATTTAAATTCTCTAAATGAGTATTCGAATTGTTATATGGTATAACTTAAATTTTAACATGTTTATTATTTAA